TCAGGACCATCGCTCAACATTCTTTATCAAGCTCATGGCAGTTGAATCACTTGTTTTTGCTTCCTTCTTTGCCACCCATGTGGCTTGCTTTTTAAGATCTTCTGACACAAGTTGACGAGAAAGAAACACATGGAGAAGGTGGAGTTTGATACCTTTTTGTTGTAGGTCTCTCGGCCCCTAATTATGTTTGTGGCACCATGTCTTGACCATCCTCCGCATCTTAGTGAATTTCATTTTTTATGATGAGCTGATGAGGATACTTGTTAGGGTAAGAATGATGATGAAAATTCGTAACAAATGAGAGTGTCTCGAACATACATGTGTAGGCTTTTTATACTTTTTAGAACAGCTAGTTGCCTTATTTACTTTGTAATGTTAGCTTTTCGATTAGATCAAGGGTATCATGGACAAAAATGGGTGCTTAATTTTTTTGTTTTCTCTTGTTACTCTATTAATGGCTTCTGTGCTTTTGCTTGCATTCTTGTCTTTTGAGAAATTTTCTCTTTATTATTTGTCTAATCTTGAAAACCGTTTGTGTTGGTTAGAATCAGATAATTCTTCACAAGCTGCTGTGTTACGATCTTGCTAAAGGTTCAACCAAACCAGTCCTACAGTGGCTATAATATCACAAGTTCGAGTTGCAAAAAGATGACTGAAAGGGCAACCTATAAACATGCGAATTTTTGAATATTAGTTAGTGGGGTGATCAAAGAGGGCCTTATCATTGGGTCACTGCTGATAAAATGTCTCAATTCTAAGGTAATTCAAGTAGTAACAGATATGATTTGTAAATTCAAACGTCATGAATTCGAATTTTGGCAAACTCTTTTGGGCTAATTTATAAGAGATTGATTTCTCATAAATATTTTAGTCTCGGCATGGATAATTTATCTTTGATCGGACCAGGGTAGGGAGTAGTCGAGGTGTACTAGTTGGTCCAAACATGTCTGATTATTAAACCTAAAAAAAAAGTCTCTGTGGGTAGTAGATGCCATTAGTTCTGGGCTTTTGTAACAATGGTTAAAATGTTGCAACTAGTAGGACAAATCTGTTCTGGGCTTTTGAATTGAAACAATGGTTAAAATGCTTCAACCAGTAGGACAAAGGGCAAGGCTACAAAGACTACTGATTAGAGAATTATTATTTTGAGTACTAAAACAAACAAACCACAGCTGAAGACACCATAAAGAGAATGGAGCAGAATGTCCTTCCAAGTTTTACAGCCATTGAACTATATTCAAGACCATTACAAAGGAGGTTAAGAGATCTCAAACTTGTGCTAGAAACTCTGTTTTAGTTTTACGTAGGTGTCCACTGAACTTTCGGAAGACCACTAGAGAGAGGAGAGTAAGAGAGCTCAAACTTGTGCTATGTGGAGTGCTCTCATCCCTCTCTGATAATATTCGAAGTGAATATCTGCATAACCTTTCACCTTCTTGAATATCTGTGGCTTTTCCTCACTGACCAACCCATCTTCTGGTCCAATCTCTCTTCCTCCCTCGGGTGTATAGAAGACAGCCACAGAGATCCTGTCCTTCTCCGCGTTACTCAGTACTCGGTGCACTGGACTCTTGAATATTCCATTGGTCATTATCTGTTTAATATCAATAAAAAAAAAATAATGAAGAGTAAATCATTCTTATGCATCTAGTATACTTGTGCATATTGCAATTCATCATTCGAAATACTGTTGCATTAAGCGGGGTTTAAAACAAGCTAGCTACTTGAGTCGGATTGGATTGGTTCAGGTAGAGTCTGGCTAATCTTTCATAATTGATCAAGTCTCAACCTTCGATGTATCGAGTTGACGGAATGGAACTTCTCTGGAGAGTTTGCTTTTAGTGCTAAAATGTGAATTTTCTGGGAAATGAAGCAGCAGATGAAGAACACATTTACCTCCATTTGATCACCCATAAGAACTAGGAGAGCTTGAGAAAGGTTGGGAACTGTGAGCCATTTGTCATCTTTCAAGACTTGAAGGCCTAGTTCATCTTGGTAGATAATGGTATATCCTGATCCATCTGCATGGGGTTTTAAGCCAAGAACACGATCAGGCCTTTGACAAAGTGAGTAGTAGTTAAACCTTGCTTGCAAGGGTCCTCTTTCACCAAACTGATTCAAAAAGCAATTCTCTTCCAGATTCAGAGACCTTGCCATGGCTTTGGAAGTGAGCTCTGTTATCTTCTTAATCTTCTCTGTGTACTCTTCTAAAACGTTCCTGCACAAAACAAACCACTCCTACACATTGTCATCTCAGTGTATTAGATGTACTGAAGAGATTTTGTGTTTGGGGAATAGGGCTCTTACATGTTCAAGCTCAGTTAACATCACTGTTGCAGAATCTGTTTTTTATTGTTGGTTTGGAAGGAGGAGGAAGGGAGGGAGTTGGAATGACAGAGGACACACCTGAAAGGTTTTGGGTTTTCCGGCCAGAATTTGAACTTTCTTAGATCTTCAGGATACACATCAAGAAAGAGACGATCAGACCAGTCAAGTGACTGGCCTTCTTCAGGGACAGGATCAGCCCCATACCCTTCAAAATCCACAACAGTTTTGGCGATCTTCTTCTTCTCTTCCATTGGCTGTTCAAAGAATTCCCTTGTTACCTGGCGAATCTTATTCAGGAATGAACTTGAAATCCCATGATTTATTGCCTGAACAGCCACAATTAGTCATTGAGTAAAGCCTGAAAAGTTCTTTTTTCTTATAAAAGAAAACAGTACACAAGCTTTGAGATAGAAAAGCAAGTTCACAGAAGAAAGTTCATCAAGTTCAAGCCTATTTAATAACGCTGTCTAGTTCCTATACTCTATCCTTTTAATCATCTTACCCTTGCAAGCAAGCAGAGAGATTGGATTCGAGTCACGAAAACGCCCTCTCTACTTGCAAAGATAAGGCTGCATACATTTAACCCTCGTAAACGCCGCAATGACGCGAGTCTCGTGCACTAGATACACATTTTTATCTTGTTCTTTACCACTGTTTACCAAATTTTAATCCACCAATGCAGAAAATGCTCCAGTTTTCTGTTCTTATATGAGGCCAGAAAGTTTATTTTCAACAGGTCGGCACGAAGTGATTCATCATGCTCAAACATGAATCGATTGTTCACTGGGGACGGTTTATAGATAGATCATCTAATTCTCAAAGAAAAGAGAAATAGAAACTATATGGACTGCATAAAACATTTGATCACTAGTATTCCTAACTACATGTATGAAATTTGAGCTAGGACGACCTGAAAACATCCCCACGAAGATAGAGCTGATTTAAGTTTCTCTAATTCGTCATTTTTTTCACTGAGGAGGCTTAGATCAATGACAGGTATTGGAGAAACTGGGGAAAAATCCTCTTCAGTAGCTTCATCATCTCTACAAATATATGGTGCCGGTGGCTCCTCGCCGTTGAGAACCATCTCTTGTACTCTTTTTGACAGTAATACCTCCGCCGGCAGAATGGAAACTCCGGCCATGTTTTCAGGTTTTCTACTAAGTTTCAGACTGTAAGGATGAAACCTTCCTTTAGAACCAGGAAATCTTTGTTTCTTTGTCTTCCTTTAGAACCAGGAAATCTTTGTTTCTTTGTCTATGGAAGGATGACTATGAAGTTGTTAATGTTGTTGATTGGCTTAGAGTGACCAATGGTTAGGACCTGATGGAAGCATATTTGTATTCTTCTATTGGATCTGGCCACAACATATTTCACTCCATTGACCTTATGCAAAACAGCAGATAAGCTTTGTGTGTCAGATATTTGTTTGTTACAAAGTTTTATTCATCCATTGTGGTTCTTTAGATGTTTTGAATTTTCAACCCATCAGCTGACTCATGACCATTTGGTAGGTTAAGCCATGGTTTCTATGGATGACCTGTCTCGATCAGACCAACAAGGAGATCAGTCAAAATACACATAAAATGGTTCGAACAACTAATATTAAGTTGATGAATGTGAATAACTAGAACCGTGGCATACATCATATTTGTGTAATATTTTCCAAAAACCTTGTTTTCTTTTTTGCTTGGGAAGATCGTTTTCAGTACAACACACAACTTTGATGTTACCAAAACTTACTCCAATCCAAGCATGAGATTCCATCCTGAGTTTCTATCTATAAGAACTGTGTTTCTATCTATAAGAACTAGAGGTAAACTTATGTTTGAAGGTACGGTATAATGTGAATGATTTTTAAGGACATATTAGTGATAGTTTGATTAGTTTATTTGAAATTGTCAGATGAATTTAATAAAACCTGCGCTATGTTATATTATAAATAGGTTGTTGGATTTATCAATGTCACCAAGGTATGATACTCTTAGCAGAATAATCACTCTACGAGACGAATAATTCATTGGAATTATTGAAGGCTTGGAAAATTGCTACAAGTCTTAAATCAGTGGTTGTTGGCTCCACCCAGCCATGCCTTGGGGCCCACAGATCTATCACTACTGCACTGTCCCAATAATTGAGCAACATTGTATTTCCTAAGAAGATTATATACCCTACTAACTCAACTCAACTTAATCTAATCCAGTTAGATCATGTGTCAATAAATTTTACTTAAATAATTGAACTTTTTAAGATCTGTCACAAAATTTTAGACTTTATTTTGGTATTTTAATTTTGTTAAATTATGTTAGACCTTATTGAATTGTATTATTGGTAAGTGCACATTGTTACTAATCGCTGACAACGTTATACTCACCACTTTTTGCACCATCTTTATTAGTTTTGTCAATCGTGTTGAGTGAGACGGATTCGTGTCAAAAAAATATTTCACACATGCTCAATTCGTTTATTAATTTATGTCTAATGAATCATATCATATTGAATTCGTGTAGTGTATGAACCGTGTATAATTGATATATAAACGAGTTGTGTCGTATATTTTTTTCTGATTGGTTTTATATATACCCGATTTATTTATTAATCATATCGCGTCGGGTCTACTCGTTTACTAAAAAAATTCAAACCCTCTAATTTTATATTGTGTTAACGAATCGTGTCATATTTTAACAACTCTAATTTTTATACATCACTACAGTATCAATCATTAGATAGTACAATATCTTAATACCATCATATCTTATCTAAAGGAAGAATGAAAATTTTCTCTTTTTCTTGTCTTGTTTGCATTCTTTAGTGGTGATATTTGTATCTAGGCAAAAAAATCCTTTCCAAATTTACTCCTGAAATGACCAACTATCATATTTAGTTTGTATTTTTTTTGCTTTTGTTTTGGAATTTGCTTATCAAAAGTGATTATCGATTGATTGATCATTAATATTCACTAAACACGTGAATTTCCGAGAAAGTAATTTATTGAAAGCATGAATTTCAATTAAAATAATTTACTAAAAATATGAATTTCAAAGAAAGTAGTCCACGATTTTATTTTACGATATTTCACTTAAAATAATTCACGTACAACGCATGTGCATCTAATTAGTTTATTGAAATTGAACTTGATAGTGTAAATAATTTATTCATACACTTTTTCTTAAATAAGTTTATAAAATTATACCCACAACTAAAAAAACCCTATTTCTAACTATATTAGGCTGGACTCCAAGTTTACTTGAAAATTTCAAACAGCCCAAACCTACAAGGCCCAAAACAGGAAAAGCTAGTAAACACAAAATCCTTCTCTTTTTTTTAGCTCAGCATTTGATCATCGTTTACAGCTTCTGAAAGCTCTCAAGCTGGACCAAATTCTCGAAAATTTCATACAATATAATTTTATAATCTGCGGCCATCGCGTGCGATGTACGATAATTATTGCATTTTATAATTTTTTTGGTTTAAAGTAGCTAAACATTAAAAAATAAAATAAAAATAAAAAAGGGAAGAAAGACATCCAAGGTCTGTCACAACTAAATTATTTTCTATAAGAATATAAAAACCTGAGAAAAATAATATTATTAATTATCTAATTTAAATTATTGATTTATTTTTATATTCTAATGATTGAACAAAACTGCATTCTTTATTGGAATTAAAATATGCCATCAAACTTGTTTTTATATCCTCGTCAACCTAGATTATGACAATTTTACGGATAATAAAACGTAACGATTCTAACTACGTAATTCTCACTAACCCATTATAATATGTCTCACATGAGACAATCGGATAATTACAACGTCGTGGGCTTAGTCATAGATTTGATTCATGGTGTTTGTTGAATTTAATTATCATTTATAATTAAAAAAATTTAGAGACCGGTCTCATTATATGCACTTATCTGAATTTAAGTTCATCAAAAAAAATTATTTGTTATAAAATATATTTTTTGTCAATTTTACTAGACTATTAAAAGTAAAGTAAAACTAAAAATTAAAAACTCATAAATTTTAGAAGTTTCACTAACATTAAAATTTTTTCTTGTTCATATATATCCATATGTATATATATATATATATATATATATATATAATAGCATTAAAAATAAAAAATAGTAACATTCAAAAATATATAAAAAATATATATATCATTTAAACACAAAAAATAATACCATTTAAATACAATAAAAATAATAACATTTAAATATAAAAAAAATAGTAACATGTTTAACAAAAACAGTAAAATGTCAAACAAAAAAAATAGCAATATAGAACATTAAACAAAATTAAAAATAAAAACAGTAGCATATAAACCCATAATCGGAGGAAGAAGCCTCCAATTCTTCAACATCCAAAAAAATAATAGCATACTTAATAAAAAATAATAACATGGTCAATTAGAAAAAATAGTAACATAGTTAACAAAAAAATATAGTAACATGAAATATTGATAAAATTTGGGAATTATTTATCAAAAAATAAAAATAAAATTGAGGTATCAAACTAATAACACATTGAACAAATTTTTCAACCTTTTTCTTTACGAAAATCAACGACATAGAGTAATTGTTGATGATGTTCTAAACCCTAATAATTTTAATGCTATGGAGGAAGAACTGATAGCTAAGAAGAAAGATTTGTAGTACTTGAATGATAATCTTCTTCTAATGAGATAGAGATAAAGAATATATATTTGAATTTTAATTTAAAAGTGAATTAAAGGATAATAATTTATAATTTAAAATTATTTTAAAGGTTTTTAAGGTTTCTATAATTAAACATAATAACATTATTAAGAATATTTTTAGAATTTAAAAAAATAATAAACTTAAGTAATTATTAATGAGATAAAAAATAGACTTATCACTAAATAATTTTTTTGACTAATTCAAGTCATTATAAATTCATATAAGATGACTCTGCTCCAATTTTTACTTATAATTAATTAGTGATCGTGGATATCGGATTAGCAATTACAATTAATGAGAGGTGGTGGATATGGGAATATTGCAATTTAAGAGAGACGCGAAAATGAAAGTCTATGGGGTCGCTTCTGTAATCAGTATTGAAAACTTTTCTTTCCTAAAATACCCTACGTTTTTGTGTTGGTCGATGCTGCCTATCACACGGTTTTTAATATAAACACACATTATGGAGTCATGTAAAGCAATAGAGTAAGGGCGAAGTATGGTATCCTGAATTTGCTTTGGGGATAAACATTAAAATCTTCGTCAACTTGTTAAAACCAAGCCAAGCAACGTCGCTTTTCAGTTCATCGAATCCACTCGATGATGACAAAGTAAGCACATTTGTCTTATACATCTCCGTTCAGTCTCATCTAGCTTCTTCGTTATCTCATCTCCGTTCACCCAATCTCTCTCTCTCTCTCTCTCTCTTCTCACAACATCTCGGATTTCCAGGTCTCTCTTTGTGTTTTCCTTTCTTTTACTTTTTGACCCAACTGAAGATTTTTTGCTTAAAAAATCGATTTTGATTATTGGGTGTATGTTATTTTGCTAAAATTTGTTGTTCTGCAGAGATATTTGTAATGGGTAATGCTTCATCAACGTTAACTCAGTATGATATTGAGGAAGTCCAAGAGCACTGCAACAATTTATGTGAGTCTCCTTACGCATTTATGGTAATATGATTCTTGGGTTTGTTTCTTTTTTGTTATTTATAGATTAATCCAATGTTGAATTTGTTTTTTTTTTTTTTAAATATTAGTTTCCCAGCAAGAAATAGTGTCACTATACCAGAGATTTTGCCAACTTGATCGGAATGCAAAGGGTTTTATTTCAGCCGATGAGTTTTTATCAGTGCCAGAGTTCGCAATGAACCCGCTTTCTCAGGTAGTCTTTTTGAGTGTTCCTACTGTATGCTTGTGGTGTTTTGATGGTTTATTTGAGTGTGTGTGGCTCTGTGGGGTGTGTGTTCTTTACTGTTACAACTTAAACATGTTTGATCATTGAACTGTTTTGGATTTTGTGCTTCTTTAGAGGCTGCTTAAGATGGTGGATGGTTTGAACTTCAAGGAGTTTGTAGCATTCTTGTCTGCTTTTAGTGCTAAAGCAAGTATGCCGCAGAAAATTGAACGTAGGTGTTACAAATAAGCCTCTTCTGTACTCTGTTTTATCTTTCAAGTGTTTCATCCTTTAAGTGCCCTTGCTCATGTTGCTGAATCTGTATTGTTGCTATTTGTTCAAGTGATAAGAATAAATACACCTGTAGACAAATTTGTTTCGATCGATAGGAATCTCATGTTTGTTCTGTTATATACTGGAAAAAACTTAGGTGTGATTTCAATGGCAGTGGGGTTGTTTAGTTTGATGATGCAGCTCTCACACAATCTTTTTTGGGCGGTGGGATTAATGATGACTATCATGATGAAGTTGTGATTTCATATTTGAGGTAGCTCTGGTGGCTTTGTGTTTATTGGTTTAATGCTAAACGTATATGCATATTCAGGGGAATGATGCTTTATTTCAAAACTGCATGCATACCATTGCTAGGATTTTGTGGAGTACTTAGCTTTGGAAAATTTTGAGTTATGGGTGTATATCTGAAAAGCTACTTGGAGAACTCGAGAAGCTGTTAGTACTAGCATTTGAGAGGAGGAAAGTAAACTGCACATCACAAATTTATTAGATTGTCAATGCAAACTTATCCACGTAACTCATAAATTTTAAATCCGGATTTTTACTTCTAATTGCTACCACATTACTTGTGAATATTTTGTGAAACATTGCATTAAAGGCAATATTAAAATTTCGTTCTTTGAATTTGGTACTAAACGCATCATCAGAAAATACTCACAATTGGACACCTTCCAGAGCATTTGTTGGTCAGTAATCAAAGATTGGTTTAGCTTAGTTTACAATATGCATAAATTCACCCAGTTTGAAAGGAATATCCACGTCTTTTCTTCCAATTAATACTTTATTTTTGCTAATTATTTTTTGTGATCTGATATTCCATTGGATTTTTAGCATTTTGCAAGGAATATAAATTTGCATTGAATTTGATATTCCTATCCTCCTGGACCATTTGGCCATTCTTTGGTGTTTTATTAGACTTTATCAAATGCTTCTTTGTGTCAGTTATCTTTAAAGTGTACGATACCGATCGTAATGGGAAGGTGACTTTCAATGACATACTGGATGTGCTGCGGGACTTGAGTGGCACATTCATGTCAGACAAGCAAAGAGAGGTATTACGGGGCTACATTTAATCCACATTTTTATTTTTCATCATAGCATATCTGTCCATATATAGTTTGCATTTATTGCTCTCTCCAGCGGAATATGTAGGGGGTCTTTCATAACATATTTGGATTAAGTGTGATGTTATGTTGCTTTGTAAAGCATGATTAAAATGCTTTTGGTGGAGCACTCTAACGTTTAGACATGCATACTTGTTGATTTTGGTGTTAGATTACTGTCATAAGTACCACACAAATCGTATTGGTCTTTCTTCATATTTGCTTTGTATAACTTTTCTGCGTATAATCTCTTGACCCTTTGAATTGTGTATAACAATTGATTTCATAACTATTGCTCTGGAAACCCGACTATTTTTTGTAATTTGATTGATACTAGTAAATGATGTAAAAGTCATGGATTTCTTCATAATTGTGTTGTCTTCTTTGACAATATATGTGACAGCTTGGATTGCTTTCCACATTTTGTTTACTCGTGGTTGCATTATCTTGCTACTTTAGATGTTACAGGAAAATACCAAGTTCCTTGCTCCCTCTGTTTTATGTTTTGCAGGAAGTCTTGAGCCAAGTTTTGCAAGAAGCTGGTTATACGAGGGAATCTTCTTTATTGTTGGATGATTTTGTTAAGGTTCTTTGTCTTCCTATTGTTTTTCCCGTTACAACTTTTGAAACTATACGAAAGAGACAAGAATAATGGTGAATGTGAAGAGAAAAATGCAGAGAAGGCTACTCGACCAGGCCAGAAAACGAAGTTTTTAATGTCAAAGTTCAAAGCCCAAAACAAGTCAGAAATATGATCAACTGGAAGGCACAGCCAACCCCCCCACCTTTTCCCCCCTTTTCTCTAAAGATCTAGTATGAAAAATAAAATTCTGTAATAGAAGCTAATTAGAAACTCAAAGGGATATCTCTCATTATGTTTGTCTTCTTTTGGTTATGTTTATCATCAAAATTTACCGTTTGTTTCAGATTCTCGACAAACCTGGCCTGAAAATGGAGGTGGAAGTCCCTGTTGATTAAACTAAACCTGCAGTCCCTGCTCTTCTGAACTGTTGAGAGAACACTCAGCCGACCCTTTGTATAAATTGTTTTTCTTCTTGATGAAAAAAAAACTGGGTCAGTAATAAATTGTATGCAAAGTGTATTCTAATAAAATTGAGCTTATTAATGAACGTTTTCGTCTTTGCATTACCTATCCATACCTGAGTGTTTATCTGTGTGGCTCAGCGTTGTTAATGTTTTTATTGCATTGTTTCACTGACAAATTCAACAGTGTAAATCACTTGGCCACAAATCAGTGTATTTATTTGATTTATATGTAGACGTTGATTACATAAACGTGCCGAGTTCAAAATTTTACAGTGGATGTCAAAGTTTAATTTGTACCACCGATCTATTGATAGGGTGAAATCATATAATAAATCTCCATGGTAACAAACATAATATTTGTTCATTATCACCTTGTGCAGTCGTACAAAAAAACCAACTTGTACATTGACTATAGTTGGGGGAATTTCAAATAACTACAGAAGAAGCATAGTTCAAATTTCCCCTCTATAACCCCCAGATCCAAAATAATCTCGTCTTGAACTAGCAATTTGCATACTTTTTTGATGCTCTAACTTGGGACAATCACGGATACGATGACCGAGCCCACCACAGTAAACACATCCTTTCACACCACTGGCACTTGCAATTGCCTCCACATCTTCCATTGGATCGCTGAGCTCAGCCAAAACGGGTGGTATCCTTTGTTTTGCTTCTTGCAGCAGGTGTTTCAGGTCAAGAAGTGTTGTTTCGCTCTGATTCTTGTTAATGAACGTTGTGGCTATTCCAGTCTTCCCACATCTTCCCGTTCGTCCAATCCTATGAACATAGTTCTCAATCTCGGCTGGCATATCATAGTTTATTACATGCTGAATGTCGGGAAAATCCAAACCCTTCGATGCAACATCTGTGGCAACCAGTACATCTTTCTTGCCTGCTTTGAAGGAAGAAATGGCATATTCTCTCTCTTCTTGATCCTTGCCTCCATGAATTGCCACTGCTTCAACTCCCTTTAAAAGAAGATATTCATGAATGTCATCCACATCAGCTTTGTTCTCACAAAATATTAGAACAGGAGGAGGGGTCTTTTGCAAGCATTCAAGAAGGTAAACAATCTTCGCCTCCTGCTTCACATATTCAACTTCTTGAATCACGTCAAGATTCGCCGCTCCCGCCCTTCCAACATTAACAGTAACAGGCTTAACCAAAGCACTTCTAGCAAAGTTTTGAATCTTTGTGGGCATGGTAGCAGAAAAAAGAAGGGTTTGCCGTTGAGCTTTAAAGTGATCGAACACTTCTCTTATGTCATCTTCAAAACCCAGATCAACCAGCCTATCTGCCTCATCCAAACACAAATACCTGCAGATAAAAATAACGCTGTGAAAATCATGTTCCATAAAAGATATATCCAAATAAGCCATCATATTGTATAATGTTAATAAACAGCCAATTATCATAAGAAACATGTCCACAATTCTAAACACACTATTCCAAGAAGATCATAGCAACTCAAACATGAAATATACGTGGTCAGTAGAACACAAATAGCAACATAATTATATAGGCAGCTGACAATACATACATGTAACTGAAATTCCAATTGCATGTGTGTGAACAATTAAGTGCAACCGGCCTTACTCCTCACCATAAGGTTGGGAGTTCGAGTCTTAGAGTCCCCATTGGGACTTGGTGGTTGACCGCTATGCTAGCCTACGTCTAGTCCCGAGAAGTGTTTCAGGCGCGGTCAGGGACCTTATGATCCCACTGGTGAGACCTATCGGGATGGTCGTTGGGCGCTCCTCCTTGTCCCCACCCCTTGTTTATTTATCAAAAAAAAAAAAAAAGACTCATTGGCAAGAAAGAAAAACATCACTCCCATTGGATTAGAACATGTCACCTTTATATACATAAACAAATTAGATATGAGTATAAAATAGTTAAAAGGAACAGGAAAGATAAAAATGTCCAAATCAGAACCAAGTAAATAACCAACATTGTGACGGTGTGAATTTTTTATCCAAACATGCAATTACTAATTATAAAGCCAGGCATCACTTTGAGAAGTAAAAATTTCACACCTAAACATCAGTTACACATTTTCTCATAGAGAAACCACAGCACATCACTAGAACATATGGCGCAAATCACAAAAAGTGAAACTGTGAAGTAATTTTCCAGTTGATTTCCTAACTTTGAATTCATATTTTATAAAAAAAAAAAAGAAGCAAAACTGTATATACAAGTCCAAACTATTTTTAATGAAAATAAATCATGCAAAAACCTATAAATTGATTGAAAAGCTATGGCAACATGAATTTCAAGTAATAGTACAAAATTAACTTTAAAGAAGACTGGAGCATGGCTCCATAACTGACAGAAATGCCAAAAAAAAAGAGATTAAATGCATGTTTTGAATTTTTAAACATGGTATGGGTATGTAAGGCATAAGAGCCCTTACCTACAATTATCCAAACTCATCTTCTTTTTAGCAAGCATGTCCTTCAACCTCCCAGGTGTAGCAACCACAATATGAACACCCTTCTTCACTACTTCCAATTGTGACCGCATATCAACACCACCAATACAAAGCAATGGCCTCAATTCTGGGTATCCATGCTCCCTCATAGGTATTAAAAACTGCTCCACAACTTCATAGGTCTGCCTAGCAAGCTCTCTAGATGGGCAAATGATCAATCCAAATGGTCCCTCCCCAGGAACGATGGGCATAATTAGCTCCTCTTGTAAGGCTACCATGATTAATGGCAAGACAAAAACCAACGTCTTACCAGAACCAGTAAAGGCAATGCCAATCATATCTCTTCCTGATAAAATAACAGGAAGTCCTTGAACTTGAATGGGTGTGGGTTGCACGATTCCCTTAGCTTTCAAATTCTTCAAAACAGGCTCCGGAAATCTCATATCCTTAAAAAATTTTATTGGAGGGGGAATATCTTCACCATCCACAATAATATGCCACTGCTTCCTAATGGCATCAAAAGCTGTTTTGGGCATCCTTCTAATGTGCAGTGGAGGTTTCCATCCCGTTGGCAAAGGATCACTGTATGTGATTCCCTTCGCAAGTTCACGAACAGACATTAAGGTCTTGCGGTCGGAGAGGTGTTCAATCATCTCCTTCTCTTGTTGTACCACTTGTTCTGTGGGACTGATTTCTGGCTGGTCACGCTTCAATTGAGAAGCCTTCACCAGTAAACTTGGTTTGACTTCGACCAGTTTCAACTTTTCTGTTTCCTCTTCAAATTCTGAAGATTTCCCTTTGCGTTGAAGAATCTTTTGTGCCTCCAGGGCCCTACGCTTTGCAACCGGAACATACTCGGCATAATCATCATCATCTTTCATTTCCTGCAAGATCTAAAAAGTGTTGGTGAACCAAAGGATTGGAAACTTTAAAGTTCAGCTTCAATTGTAAAGACTAACAAAAGCTTGCATGTATATTAGAATTTGAGATTGGGCTCGACTTACAACAAAAACATGCAAAAAAGAAATTCCACAATGCAAAAGGAATAAAATTAAAAATTACACTGAATCCAATCCAATAACGGTAATCCAAGTAGAAGTGTATTATTTAAAATTACGGGGATCATGATGCATTTTTAGGACCACAAAAAGTGAGAAAATTAATAGATGGAGCTATAGCTACAAAATGATCATGAATAATATATCTACATGCAGATTCTAGTAAATGGTACAGATTCTTGTGTAGGTAAGAGCCTCTTTTTTAGAGGAACAACCAAAAAAAAGAGAAGTTGAATTTATTTAAGACAAAAACACTAAATACATCTACTTTTGGTTAAATTTCCAAAAGAACTCAGAAAACGTAAAGAATTAAGAGCTGCAGCTTGCAATGGAAAACAATATTGACTGAAATAATTTAAACGTAATGCAACTAGAACGCAACAAATATAAAATCATAATTAAATTCTCTTTATGCAATACTTTAAAGAACTTTATGCCTAAGTAGCCATCTAGCCAAATTGTTTAACAAGGACTTAAATGTGGTCAAAGATCAAATTTTTGCACAATGTCCTAAACAAAGCTAACAAGAAATACTGAAGAAATTGCCAGTAGTCTTTGGAATTCCTAACAAACTTGGGATGCTTTCAGACAAAGACCCACAACAAGGCACATAGAAATTAGACTCACTATACCTACTTCATGACTTTCATAGCAGACTCTTACTCAGTACTTCTATTAAGCAATTTGTGAGCCTCAGCTAACCAATGTTTAAAAATCACCAAACGAGATCTTTTCCGTTGAAAACGTAAATAGAAACCACAAATTGGAAAATTAAGCAATACCCTCATAACAATTCAAAGTAATTAATCAAATCCAACACCAGGGCAGTGTAGATTTATACACACACACACATAACAGCAAAAAGCAAATCAAATCTATAAAAAAAACAAAGTGGAAGGCAAAAAGGTGCGAAATACATACTCTTTGAGGACTGTTGGCAAGCGTAGTCATGGTAGCAGTGGGGCCGAACTGAAATCTCGCTATGGCGATGACGTAATCAGGTTGATTGTCGACGGTGAGTCAGAATAAACCCGTCTGAAAGATTCAACTTTGTTATGTAACGAAGCTTTCGAAGATTCAATTCTGTCGAGGTAGGTACTGTCTGTGACAAACTATCCAAAAAAACAACAAAAACTCAATAACCCTATCTCATGGTTCATTGATTGAGATCATTAAATCTGAAAGCTTTTATGAAAATATAGATAACAATAAGAGCTCAATCCGATTTCAGTAAACTCACCAGGATATATGGACGTCGATGTTCGGCGATGAAAGATCGCCGTTGCCGGAGAAGATTAATTACTCAATCCTCAAGCTGTTGGTGTCAATGTCTGATCTTACTTTTCGGTTTTTGTTATTTTGGATTGAAACCCTAAGGGGGTGTTTGGTTTGATGGATAAAGAAGGATAAAGCAAGTTGGATTGGATAAAAGTATCCGGGACCCACAAAACCCAGGTTTGGATCAAAACCTCTGTGCTCACTTTCCTTTCTCCCTCTCCAGTCTCACGCCACTTTCCTCTCTCCCTTGCTACATACACAGCACCTCCACCAACAGCGACCAAACACCACTAGCGCCCCCACCCCTTTCCTCTCTGTCTCTCCACGACAACGCCACAGCCACAGCCACCGCCAACGGCACCACTAAATCATCTACGCCACCTCCAGAACCAGCAAACCACGCACACACAAACCCCTCCTCTATCTCTGTTAAATGCACACACACACACAACCCCCTAACTCGATGTTTTCCATCCCCAAACCCCCTCAATTTCCACCAGCTCTGTCGACCCAGAAACTATCGGTCTTGTTTGGTCTTGTGTTGTTAAAAAAGTGACTAAACAATATTAAATTATTAAAATAATTAAACTACAAGTAATATATTAAATCAAAATTATCCGTTTGTCATGTACATTTGCTTTTGATACGTGAGGCATATGATTTTGGAATGAATTATGTGATATACAAAATGCAATTAAACAAATTATAAATAAATTTTTGGCTTTGTTTTGTTAAAAAATGTAATTTAGTAAATCAAAATTTTGTTCAAATCTAAGTATCTATTCGATCCTCATTTTAGATTGGCATCATATCAATCTAAAGTTGGTATAAGATTAGATTAACATTCTTTACAATAATGTAATAATCATTTCACTATTTTTCATTTATATATAAGAATAGAATCTATAGAACAAATGTTTTTTTATCCAAATATGAGATATTATTCATTAAGATTGAATCAATCCGAACTATTTGATTATATTGAGTTGGATTAGATTCAAATCCAATCCAACTCATAGCGATCCAACACACCTCCTAAACGACTAATGTCTCACTAGACCCCGTCGGTTAGAATTAAAAATCCAGTTTCACTTGGTGTAGAAATCGTGAAATCATTCTTCTTTTTTAATCCTGATTTTGATGACGTGTAAAACACTCATTGGCTAACCGTACCAGGTTACTTTGGCAATCCAGACCCGTTCAACGCACCGGGATATCCAACCCATCTTCTCTTTGAGCAATCTGTTTTTCTATTTTAATTGCTCATTTTTTACCTTTCATCCCCACACAAAAAAAAAAAAGAAAGAAAGAAATATAAGAGCACATCCAATAGTGTTTTTTATTTTAAAGAGCATCTTTTTAAAAATAAATAACATTTTTGATAAAAATTTAAAATAAAAGTATAATTTTTTTAACAGTTCCAATATAACTCTCAATTTATTAGAAATAGCTTTTACAGCGAGTAACATTTAATGCAAACTCTGCATGTCATTTTTTTTATTCATCAATTATTAAGTAGCGGGTGAGGTTAACTCTCTAAATATTGATAGATTTAACTAATCCAAATAAATAGTTTATTGGATATGAATTTTTAGGGATCCACTCACTAAAGTAAACAATTGAATGAGAATATAGAGTATATTCGGACAGCTCTAAAGGAAACTATAAGAAATTTTGAATAAATTATAATTGATTAACAAAAAAGATTAAATAATTAAATTCTTGGCTAGAGAGATATTCTATGATATGGACGTCCAACTCCTAACTCAGTCAATCGATTGATCCACCTAATAGATGATAAAATTTTTTGATCGATTTTATTGAATTTCAAAAAAAAAAATCTTATTATTCAGAGCAATAGAACTTTCCAAATATAAAAAATGAGGGGAAGGTTTTTTTGGTCTTCCTTCGAGAACATGCAATGCAATAGTACTAATATGTTAGCATTACTTTTTCACGATTTATTTATTTTAGTTAAATCTCACCACCACCACCACTCAAACAACCTCTCATTCGAACAAATGCAATAACAATACTACATAATTATTTATACATGACTCACTAATTAATTGTAAATTATCATATTTATCTAGTGAATTTAATTATTTGATAAATTATCAATAAAACACCCCATTTAATAATAGCTATATAAATATTTTTGCGATATTTATTGTTCTTAATATATATATTTTATTTTTTCTTAAGAGATCACCCACGTGGATGATTAATTGATCTACTAATGTATATGAGCAATTCTATATGAACCTAATCAAAGACTTAATTCAATATTGTCTTTAAATTAATTGTGAATTTCAATATTAGATGGAGCCCACAATTAAATTAATTTTTCAAATTAAGTTTAAATAATATTTGTAAGACCCTATATTAAAATTTTAAATAAAGATAATATTATCTTAAGAATTTTCCTAAGATGAATAAAATGATGGTAGAAACTTAGAATCATAGTTGATAGATTGATTATAAAATTTGAGTTTTACACGTATTTGCGTTGAGATAAATTAGGTTTTGGAGATATTTGAATTGAATAATGTGACTGAGTAATTTTATAAATATTTTTAGATTAAAGTAAAGTTTTCATTGAATTCAAAAAGGTCGAAAAATCTTGGGAGAGGTAATTTGAGGTCGACATTGGTTTCGACATATAGATTTTATTGTTCTTAATATATTTTTATTTTAATTGTTCTTGAAACCATATACATTTTACACTTGATATTCCAATGTCCTTGCTTTAAAAACTCTAGTATTTGTTTAAACAATAAAATTATATTTTCTTGAGTTGTTATGTTAGAAAAATACTTGTAAAATTACAGTTCTTGATTTACCTGTAAAATTATGGTTATTGATTTACCCGTGATTTGGTAAATTAGTTTGATATTGTATTTCTTGTATGAATGTTTTGATAAACATGTATGATAGTTAACGGGGTATCATAGAGTGAGTAGATGTGTTTCTTACTTCGAGTGAGTTTAAAGGTTTTCTACCACTCGTAGTGGAGTTGGTGTCTTAAGATGACCAAACCACTATTCGCTTACAAGTATCAAGGCTAAGAGATAGTATATTATTTTTAGATTGGATTCGTCACTGTTGATGTGTCACTATACACCCTTCCTAAAATTGTGTATTCTTGCGAGAATTGAGTGTGTGTGGGGGGGATCAGTATATTCTCAATGTGTGTATTCATGCTAAATTTTACTACATACCTAAAATACAGTGTTGGTAATAGTTTATTAATTGAAAGTTGGTTTTACTTCTTCGTTTTATTTATTGTTACTATCTAAACTTGAAATCCGATGAACTATCATTGTTTTATTTCACAAGTTATATATGATATTTTGTAAAATGAAACCAACCTGTTTTATATATTTTTAAAACTTTGTTTGAACTTGAGAGAATTTTTCTATAGAGCTTAGTGTTCACCTCATACAAACTACATCTTTTTAGATTATGGTTTAGAGGAAGAGTTAGAATTTGATAAGCAGGTACCTTTAAAAACTCAAATTGATGAGAACGTGGATCTTGAGGTGGATGTTTAGAGTTGTTTCCTTTATGTTCTAAACTGGTATGTTAATTATGAGACAATATTAAAAATAATGTTTTATTTATTCCGCTGCAAAATAATATTTAATTTTTTTAGATGTAATTGTCATAGTTTGACATATTAATTTTAGATGATATTTTAGTTGTTACAGATGACGAATGAAATTTCTTTAATTTATGAATTTTATTACTTGCTCTCATGATATGAATGATGATAGATAATAATATCTTTCACGGTGAATTTTGAGATATTACATTATTATTCAATATATAATAAATTTCACTTGGTCACATAATTCGTCTAAACCCCTAATACTCTTTGCGTTCTGAGCATAAATTCGTGCTTTGAAAGCAAATTCTTTGTGCATTTGTTGTTTCATTTTATAATATTCACAAATTTGATTAATTATAAAATTCTCATTTTACTTATATTTTTATGTGAGCAGTGTTGACCGAAGCCTAAATATACATGTCAAACTATAATAATATTTATAAATTGTAATTATTATTTTAGGACTTTATAATTAATAAATGTTTAAAAATTAAATATTTATATCATATTCATAGTTGTGCATAAAATTTTAATTCTGTATATTTTATTTATATTAATCTCTTATAATTAAATATGTATATATATATATAATAAAATAAGAATGTATTTGAATTTTATTCTAGTCATATTTTTCTTCTCAAAATCATCATCAATTACTTACCTCACCCATTATCCCTTTGTCAAACTCAAACGTTAAATCAAATCACTTATTCTATCACATATTTAATTATTTATATATTTTTTCTATAAAAATATTATATCACTCATTTCTATTATATATTTAATTATTTAATATTTGATTAATTTTTAGTTAATATATATTTTGAAAAAATTTAATATAATGAGATTAATTTTTTGAATGGTCGAATTTTATATTTTATCCAATTTGAAGGGATGGGTTGTGACTAATATATATATAATACAAGACTCTCAAGACATTTGTATTTTCAATTTTTTTTAAAGTTGATATTTTTACACTCCTGCTTTATGTGATCAAGAGAAATTTTTTATTATATATTTTCTCCCTATCCTTCCGCTCACCACCGTTGCTCCGCGCCACAAAGCCTTCGGTTCAGATAAAACACACGGCGCACAACCATGGAAGTTGAAGTGAAGCTACGGTTACCAGACTCAGCCTCTCACCAAAGACTCTCCAACATACTCTCACCGTTCCACATCAAAACCCACCTCCAAGAAAACGTCTTCTTCGACGGCATTAACTCCGAGCTCTCTTCAAACCTAGCCGTGCTACGTCTCCGATTCTACGACCTCGACACCCACTGCATCGTCTCTCTAAAGGCCAAACCAATAATCACCGACGGGATTAGCCGGATCGAGGAAGATGAAGAGCCCATCGACGCCGCCATCGCCCGAGCCTGTGTGGCGGAGCCCTGGCGGCTATCGTCGATTAATTTGTCGAGAATACTAAAGCGAGTGAGAGAAGAGTTCGGTGTTATAGAAAATGGGTTGGTGTGTTTGGGAGGGTTTAGGAATGTGAGGGCAGTGTATGATTGGAATGGGTTGAAATTGGAGCTCGATGAGACCCATTATGAATTTGGGACAAGTTATGAGATAGAATGTGAGAGTTCGGAGCCTGATAGAGCTAAGAAATTGATTGAGGAGTTTTTGAAGGATAATGGGATCGGGTATTCATATTCGGAGAGTTCCAAGTTCGCCGTTTTCCGGGCGGGAAAGCTGCCTCAGTAAAGTTATAATGACAAGTTTGTCACTTTTTTATCAGATTAATTAATTAATTATTTAATAAATCACTAAATTGTGATTTAGACTCTCACTTTTTTTGAAATTGAATGATTGTAGCAATTAACATGTGATATTTGAATTTATAGTGTGTAAGTTGACAGAATATTTTGTGGATTTGTGCTTATTACTTATTGGGTATGCATAAGATTCGAGTTAGCTAACTGAAAGATCATTTCCTAAAGGACCTTTTCATTGCAATCTCAATTGCTAGTTGGTGCAAAGTTATAAACCTATCTAAGATTAGTGGAGAGATCCTTAGTAGTGGTGACCATTTCACTCTTCTACGGACTGATACATGTACGAGTGCTCAAACAGGAAAGTTGACTCTTGGAAGGTGGGGGGTTGGTCCGAAAAATTCTTTCTTTCTCGTTCACTCAGGGGGTGTGGACACACCTGCTAGCAGTTATACACCGACTAGAGCAGCGAGGAGCTACAAAAGAGCTCACTTTCTCCTTTAAGGTTTTTTTGACCTCCCAGAAAATCAACTTTTTCTTCTGTTATTGTTGTGGAGAATGAAGAGAATACAGTAGATCTTAGTCACCCTATGCAGTTGTAAAGACTGACACTGCGATTTTACGTGGTTTGCCATTATGCCTATGTCCACTGGCTGGAGAGAGCACTTCATCTTGCAGATTTCAATGCATGAAACGTTTCTGAGTAACCTTGGGAAAGATCAATTGTTTTGCTTTTACAACCTAATAAATTCTCTAATCATTTTAGGCTGAAAATTTTCTTCTCTTTCATGGTCACATCCCTGGTTGGTTGGAAATTAACTTGCTCATGAATTTTGACTGGAGTTCTCCATTAGTGGCTAAACCATATTATAGAAAAGAGTGTCATATGAAAGGCCAGTAACTAATTTCAGACAAACTATGGCTGTTCCAATTTACTTTCATGCCCTTCCTCTCACCTTGCAAACAACTCTTTCCCACTTATTCAAGAAGAACCTTCTGTTAAGCCCTGCAGAGCGGTATGGTCTTGTGTTGTGTATTAAACCGAATCTCCCTGTTTTTTATATATCACCTGAGACAGTTTCTACGTGTGAGAGAATTTGTCTCTGTAGTTCTAGAATAGAGTCCATCATAGACGAGTTCTTGGGAAAGGGTTAAGGTGGTGATTTGTATAATCTTTGATCCCATCAATCAGCTTCTTTCTCTTGTTGTGCAATTGAAGGCAGTATCGAGGAGTGCAAGGGGATGTCATAAAAGTGCAATTCAAATTCCCAGTCTTTTTCTTTCTTTTTTTTGTTCCCTTCCCCTTTTGGTTTCACGGAAAGAATAATGAAGAAGACTACCAGGTGAGCCTCTTGAAGACTGTTTCGACGATTTCAGCATGGGGGAAATTCATCAATTTTCTCATGGTCAATCTGATTACCAGTAGTGTACATTCTTTAATACTTTGCTGGGAATTTCATTTGCAATTCATGATTGTTATAAGTTGAATGCAGAGACAGTCATCGCTATGAATGACTCCTCCCCCAATCGAGATTCATTCTGATTATCGTCTTTCATCTGTGCAAACATTTAGAATTATCAAGTATACAAATTTATTGTTTTGTTTGTATTTATACTTATCTTTCCATATCTGCATGCCTTTCCTTTGTGTTTGTCCAAAGTTTATTCCCTCTTAATTAAAGAGATTCATTCCCTGTTTTGCAAATTGTGGCTCTTCTATGCCTGAGTTAAGTCTGCACTAGCCAATGCTTTTCTTGTGTGATCACTCGGCAAATGTATCTTACACACAAACACGTTCTTCCAAAGGATTGTACCATTGAATACTTTTTAAGATAATTGAATACAATCTCCGGCATATATGATGATGAATTCTCCCATTGCTTGTTTAAGCATTCTTAGAATCAGCTAAAGGGTGTTGCCATTCACATGACAGCATAATTTTGAGAACTGAGACGAAAAGAATAGTTGCATTTATTGTTCTAAGGTATTGAACTAGACCACTTAAGGTTTAGGGTCACAGTATCAACTATCAACTTGATCGAGAGACATTGGTTGTGGCGTCACAAAATGATTTTGGGTGATACACACAAAAAGTTATATCGAAGAAGAAGTGCATGACAAAAGATTCAAGTAATATTGCGACATCGCGAAACACTATCGCTCAATTCAGTGTAGATGACCCGAATGACTCGATTCACTCAGAGATGTTTCGGGTGATAGTTATTCTTCATCTCATGGTTTGATCATCCAAGGGAACACCAAAAGGATCAACATCCACAAGAACGAAGGAAATTCACTTTTTTCCTAAAAATAACCAAGACAATGTCCTCTTGGTTTCAAGTAAATATCCTCCCAATCTGCAACTCCCCAAGTACTACCTGAGGCAATAAGGAAATGAATGGAAAAACAATAATGTTCCTCATTTTTTCTTCTTAAATGGTGGTTGATTTTGCTCTTCTTCGTCATCTTCCTCTTCACCCTCGTCTTCATCGCTGTCATCATCATCATCTTCATCGCTGTCATCATCGTCGTCGTCGTCGTCGTCACTTCCTCCATCACCATTAGCCTCAACATCATCCTCAGAATCCCCTTCATCATCATCACTCACTTCTTCTCCCGAAAATTCATCATCATCCTCGTCATTGACATCAGCATCATTGTCTTCATCCTCATCATCCTCAGTATCACTTGCATCCTTGTTCTCAGCATCAGGCCTTGTCACTCTGTTAAGATCACGTAAAGGAAAGCTGCAATGCATTTTACAAATTCAGCAGTAAATTGATTTTTCAGCCTCTTCCAAATAAAGTGAAAAACCAAAACTGAAAATGGGAAAAAATTCAACTATGGTCGTACCTCTTCTCTTCTCCTAGGGGATTCGGTAACATATCAATGTCATTGGGCACAGATACAATCTGCAAAAAGGAAGTCAATTCAAACAGATATGTCTACTAAAGGAGGAAAACCATCTAAACAATGAGATCCTCCACACAGTCCACAATGATGCCTTCTTATTCAGCGACCATAAGAAGAAACCCCAGAATTACTGGTAATAATAATGAAACAACCACTGAAATGACTAGTATGACAAAATAATTCAAACTAGACCAAGAATCCAGGATCAAAGTCCCAAAAGGCAAGACAAACTGGAAAATCCCAGGGTTGCTTATGGAAAGGGGAAATGGAAGTAGAGTAGTTTCAACTGAATGGATACTCTGAATTAGAGCAAGGAAAATGAATGTCATAAATTCAACTTATAAGACTTTGGAACAATTGGCGAATTTCATAAATGAAACTAATCATTTTGAGCAACAAAAGGCAATTAATCAAGTTCGATAACGGATTCCCCAACAAGCCTCAGAAGGAGCTCTAGGAACTCTGAATAGTTGTTTGAATGAGGACTTGCATTAACTTAATAAGACATTCACAAACCAAACTGAGCAGATACCATATTCAGAAATGGTGTAACAAATAGAATACTACTCCAAGTCCAAGCTTAAAAAGTCTGCTAGAAACAAATAAGAAGACAGTCATTGAGATTTTCCTTATAAGGGTACCAGATAAAAAGACATCTAAAATTTGAAACTCAATTTCTCATCAACCACAACACAGAGAAAAGAAACAAAAGGTCAGCTACAATCTAAAAGATCCTCCAATAAGAAAACTCTAACTTCCATTTCACACAGACTCAACAATTAAGTCAAAAGCAAAAATCATAGTTCAAAGCCCAAATGAAAAAAAAAACACACACACACACAATGCCAGTCTATTTGATCCAAACACAGGAAGAACTTACATTACTTGTAAGATTAGACAGGGAAAAAAAAAGGCATCCAACACATAAGACCAGGAAACTGAGAAAGTAACAAAATTCCTAGTCCTTAAACGCAGTAAAACCACAGAAACCCAACTGTTCAGAAAACTAACAATGGCCAATCCTTGTACATAAGAGCATCACATAAAGATCAGATCAAATTGAAAAAAATTGGGAAAAAATCCAGAGGGTCTGGAGGGCAAAGGATTGAGAATGTACCAACAAGATAAGCCAAACAAGGGTCTTCTGAGCAACCAGAGCTGTATCAACCACCACAGCCTCCAGTGCAGAGCACACCATCCTCTCCAGAGCAAAAGCGCCAGAGCAAAGTCTCTCCACCTCCATCCTTTAACCAATTCGACGACTGTTTTACACAAAAAAACAAAAATGGGTTGGCACAAGAAGCTCAAAGAAACCAGAAGACACAGAGAGAGATAAAGACAGACAGAACAGTGTTGTCTCAGCAAAGATTTCCCAGTTGGTTGTTTCACTGTGGAGAGGCCCGTGGGGTTTTGGCAGTGCCGAATGGCAAGGGAGCAGAAAAAGTAGGGTTTTAGACTTTTAGCCATTAGATTTGGCTTTTGTCCAAAACTATAAGTTTCATTTTGGTTAATTACAATTATTCCCCTCCAACTATTCCTCTTGTTACAATCAGTCCCTATAATTTCAATTTTTGTAATTTACCCCTCCAAATTTTAAGCAGACTAAATTGACCGACAAAAGTGGTTGAAACATGAAAGTACCATAACATATTCATCTTGTACATTATTTTTCATAAAAAAATTTTTGAGACACCAATTCTATCCCTAAAAAAATAAAAAAACATAATAGTTAAAAAAACATACATTTGTTCAGCTCACCACCAACCCATCGCGCAACATCATATTTACATTCACTTTGGCTTCCAATGTCCACCTCCACCCAACACCAATACACACACTTTTTAAGGTGTAATTGTGTCTTTTTAATAAAATAGAGATCATGTGATTTCTTATATCTAACTTACGTTAATTTTAATGGTCTAAAATTAACTGTTAAAAATAATTACAAAATATCTAAACTTAAAATGAGCAATTTGTTGAAATTAAAACCTAAAAAGGTAAATGACAAATTATCCAAAGTTTAAGGGTATTTTGTAATTAAACTTTTTTTTTTGGCTCTCTTCAAAACTATATGTTCAAGTCTTGCATTTAAGTCAATTTGTAGTGCAAGGCTACTGTAGGATATGGTATTAAAAGTTAGGATTTCTTCTAGATATATATTTTAAATATCACTCTATTATACTTTACTGTACCTATTCTATCACCTTCACATTTTAGTAATATGTCCTTGAGAGTATGAGTTGTGATTGATATGTAATTAAATGTGTTGGCCATTTTAATTGTGTTATGGATTTCTTTAATTAGCCTTGATTTGTATATTTACAAGTTTGTTTTGTTTCAATGTTTGTAATTAAAGAGTAAAATTGAATACAATTGGCCAAAAACTAGCCTCTATTTTTGGGCAATTAATCCTCTTTATTTTTTACAATTGATTATTGTTGTTATTTCAACTGCGTTCCAATAATATTATTACCATATTTCTTTTTTTTTTTGGGTTTAATTATTTTGCTATTTCAATAACTTAATGATAATTATTGAAATATATTTGTCAAATAAATTAGAAATTAAAGTTTGTGAAAGAGTGAACTACATAATCATATTACTTAGTTAGTGCCGTCACATTGATCAGTCAATATCATCGTATCATTACCCACTTCATTTTAATTAGTGTAGTATTATCCGAAGTTACGTGTCAAATTAAAAATAAAATACCCAAGTTCAAGGGAGTTCTTACGATGTTTATACTAAAAACAAAAGAATATAAAATTTTAGAAGTCAGATATTAGAGATTAGTTTTAGCATTAGCCAATGAACAATCACGACAATAAAACAAACTAAGAACAAATGAGATACACTCTAATTGAATAAAAATATGAGTTTTTTTTTCATAATAGAAATAAATACACACAATAAGTGTATAAAACATCCTCATTCATTAAATACTAGTTATATTATTTCTAAAATTATTTCTATAAACATGTTTTGTTTTTTCTTTTAAAGGTGTTAGGGAATAGGATAAGAGAAAATTTAAGATACAAAACAAATAGTTACTCTCAGTCTTAACCCATTCATCATCTTAGGTACCCATATGCTCTGGTTGTTACACTTGCAAACAGATTAGTGTAATTGTTTTTTTGTTTGTTTATATTAGTGTAATTTACTTGTAGTCTTTGACATTATTTGTAGGGGTGTCAATCGTGTTGTGTTCGTGTGACGCGCATGTCGCATTATTCGTGTCGTGTTATTGTTATTCATGTCAATATCCACAAAAAAAAAAAAAAAATTAATGTATTATGAGTATTAAATATTAGTCTAAATTATTTATTATGCGTATTTAATAATCGTGTTAATTTTATAATCGTTCGTGTCGGGTTCATATGAACAGGTCAGAGCTGACACCCCTAATTATTTGTATAAAATAGTTGTTGTGCATATTTGAACCCACGACCTCAATATTATTAGATCGAGTTTTAACCAATAAGTCTTTTAATTTTTATTAGTTGATGCACACATGCGTGGCACGTGAACTATTTTTGAATTAAATTTTTTTATTTTTTAATAAAAAAACCTTTGGTTCTAAAATAACTGAACTAAACATAGATCAATATTAAAGGGTTCAAAATAAGTGGGTTAAACATTAGATCAATTTCTGATGTACATATATACGATAAATTTGGGAATGAAATTATGGACCCTATTGAGTGCTTGAATATTTATGTCATTTCCTTATAAAAAGAAACATCTCATTTCATTACCATATACAATAAATCTGTCTTTCTTTTATCTAGAGTACAAACTATCAAGATACTAATTAACAACCAGTGGAGAATAAATATCTAACCCAACTTCATTTTCACGATAAGCACTGAAATGCAACACAAAGGCACAGTAGCATATGCTTGAAGTTGTGCCATCACTACAGTGATGTTATGAGAATGTTCCAAAGTAGTTTGGCATTGGAGATAATAGTTTAGGCATTTGGGCCAAAGATAAAATCTCTAAGAGAGAGAGATCCAGGACAGAGGAACTGAAAAAATAATTTTATTTTCTTACTTAGCTTATCTACGTTTACCGTCTAATTCATCTTCCTTGAATTTTGATAGCCACTATTACCAATTATAGATCATGTATCAAAAAAAGTAAAAATTAAAATGTTGCTATTGGGGACTTTCATGAGGATGGAAGTCAAGAATATTCAATCTCATACCATCTCTAACATTAAGAAACATTATTCATTAATAGAAAGATGGATTTGTCTAAGTTTCTCTTTCCTTTGGTCGTCATCCAATTTATCAAATAAAAAGAGTTCATACTCACGACCAGGAAGATTTTAAAAATTCGGCCAAGCTTGGACCTATTTATAGATCAACAATGGGATTGAGCTAGCCTACGAATGATTTCCAAGTTTTGGATGATAATGTATCAATATTTCACAAACACATTAAATACAAAGTGGTACCTCACATAGACTCGGTCATTCTTTCTTTTTTTTTTTTTGGCAAAAGAAAAAGTTATATAAGTAGAGTTTAGGTCCATACGAGGACTAACAACTTTTAGAAGTAAAGAAACAAAGTTTACCAATCCTTATAACATTGATATCTCACTGCTTTTGAGGTTTTATTTTTTTGTGTCGGTTCTTAAGAATTGTTAGGTATGTTTTCACTATGCTATAGATTGAAAACTACAAAATCTTTTTTGTTAACATGAAACTAAAAATTTCCACATTCGAAACAGAGTACAGTATTCGCTCTACTTGGATGTAATCCATCCTTCTCAAATTATGCAACAACTTTATTTAAATTTGAATAACCAAATTGTCAGTAGCAGGCCACTCCTTAAAAAAGTTAAAATTTAGAGCATTGAATGAATTGGAATGGCGGCCAAACATATATTTTGATACGAACGTAACTAAATATCGTTCTTGGTTAAATTCCAAAGACCTCTTACAAGGGCATCATCATAGAATTTGCAACAATACCATCCATTTCTTTTACATTGAAACCTAAAACTGTAGATAAGAAACAAATTCTATAAACAAATAAGGGTGCCTATCTTCAAAAAAGTTATTTATGCAAACTATAAGAAACAATGGATTAATTATGCTGCCATGATGTTTGGCCTAACAATTGTGCACCAAAATCTTCAGGAACTTCACATTATTAAGTACAATCAGGCAAATCGTGTAAAGAATACAGAGAATGCATACCATAAATGAATGCACTGCTGAAAAGCCAGCAATAACAGTCTCAAAAGGTCTCAATCCACTGCCCAAATGAAACTGAAATAATGATATCAAGGTTCATTGAAAGAAATTAAAGTAGAATGCAAAACCAAATGAAAAGTAATGAGCATTGATGGTCTAAGTGACGTATTATTCATCCGGTGCAAGTATTGGTGTACTTTTTTGAACACTAATAGTATTGGAAGATCTATTCCCTACGAGAACAAAAAGTAACCCTGCATTTGAAGATACTACCAAAGCATTAATAGCTTAAATTTAATTAAATCTATGATTTTGTTGAACATCAAAGATATTTATCGGGTCCCAGTAGTTCAGTACAAGTTCCGGTTCACATTGTGTAAATCCACCACTACTAACCTTGAAGGCCTTAAGTCCTCGTAACAACAACAAGAAGGATAGAAAAAAACTGAAAAATTCTAATACAACTACAATTAGTTTAATTTAGAAAAAAAAAACACCACAAAAAAAAAATAATCATAACGAATATTTTTATGTATTTGGATGGATGTTTTGGGTGTAACAATAAATTGAATTTGTACCAATATTTAACCATTTTGTAGCTACAGCTGTTTTTTGGTCAAATTCCCACATGCAACGCAGGAATCGCTGTGGGTCCCAATAACCTTGGCATCATGGACGACGACGTATAATCTGTAGAAGAAGGAAGAGAAGAAGAATAAGTGATAGTAGTAGTGGAATAAACAAGCTCATACTTTGTCGAAATTGGCATCAACAACAAAGTATTTGAAGGTTGCATATTCACCAAGTAGAGTAATTTAAAGGCCACAGTACAAGCCGTGACAATGAATTGTAAGAACCAATTGGGATCCACTCAAAATCTCAAGACATGCAATGATCGTGACCGGACCTACTTCTAAGGTTTTTGATCGATGCATTGAATTGGCATGTAACGAAAGGAGAAGAACTGAAAAAAGATAATGGTGAATACCTTTTAAACTTCCTGAACATATTCTTGATTGAATGTTCCTTATCGATTAGAAAACTAAACAGTGATGAAAAGATTATTGATTGATGAAATTGACAAAAGATTATTCATTGAGAATAAAAGAGGAAAATAAAAGTTTTTCTTTTCAAACTATTTTTAGAAGTAGTATCAATTATTATATTGGTCAATGATCACATTAGAATAATTGTTAGAAAGTAATTACATGTTTTGGG